GTTACTGTAGTTACATATTATAAACACAAATATTTTCTATTTTTGCTTCAAAGTTAGCTTTTTAAAAATAAGCCTCATATATACATACATACATACATGCCCTTTTCCATCATTTTCATATTTTTTTGAATATATTCAAATTTCTGTCTTATCAAATTCCCCTGTCATAAGAACTTCCTTAAGAGTTTCTGTAGTCTAGGTCTGCTGGTAATGAATTTTCTTACTGTACGTTTTCCGGGGGATAAAAGTTTTTATTTTTTCTTCACATTTGGATGGAATTTTTTCTGGGCAGACAAGTTTTTTTCTTTCAATACTTCTACTCCACTGTGTTCTAAGTTATATAGTTTCTATAAAGAATGGCACTGTGATTATTTGTTCTCCTCTATGTAATGTGTCTTTGTYCCCTCTGGTTGCCACTGAGATTTTTTTTCCCCCTTGGTTTTCAGTGTTTGCGTACAATATGTCTGGGTGGGTTCTGTTAGACTGTTTAGTATTTATTCTCATTTGTGTTCCCCCAGGCTTCTTGGATCTGTGGTGTGGTATCTTTATTTCCTTTGTTAAACTATCTTCCTTTATGTCTTCCTCACTCTATAGTCCTTCCTCCAAAACTGCAGGTATATATACTATCCCACAACTAATGGGTGTTCTCTCTTATTCCTCCACCACCACACCTGCACACTTTTTTCTCTTCATGTTTCAATCTGGGAAATTTCTGTTGATCTATCTYCACATCTACAGATCCTTTCCTCAGTTGTCAAGTGTATTGATTAGCCTAACAAAAGTATTAATCAACTCTGCTATTATGTCCTTCATTTCTATTATTTCTATTTCATACTTTCTAATAGTTTTATCTCTGCTGAAATTCCTTTTCTCTTCATGCATGCTCTCCAAGGACAAATTCTGACTAGGTCCTTTAACATATTGACCATAGTTATTTTAAATTTCCCATGTGATAGTTCCAACATCTGGGTCACATGACTCTCGTTCTGTTAATTGCTTGATCTTTTGACAGTGTTTCCACCCCCCACCTAGCTTTTTTATTTTTTAAAAAATGTTTTTTAGACYTTTATTTTGTTTACTTTTATGTAGGGCTGGGGATAGAACCCAGTGCCTCACACGTACTAGGCAAGAGCTCTACTGCTGAGCCACAATCCCAACCCACCTCTTGCTTCTTTATGTGCCCTTATAATATTTGGTTGAAAACTAGACATCATGGGTAGAATAGTCTGTCAAATAGTGATTATACCTAAAAATTGGTATGTTTCTTCTTTTTCTTGGGTCTGTAGTTCAAGAGAAAATGTTAAGTCAATCTAGTCAAGAATGGAGCTGGGGCTGGAATTTGTAGCTATGGTTATTTATAGTGTACCACAGGCTTCAAATTTCTGTAGCATCAGCTAGTATTTAGCAGTATAGGCTCATTTGCCAAAGGGTATTTTTTGGAGTCTGCTGCACCATCCTTGAACTCAGGTCTTCTCTTTGTGACTGCATCTCAGAGACTGTCTCTCCACCCAGTTCCCTCTACCCCTACTACAGACTGCTGTTACTCAACACTTTCTAATCTGATGGTGAGGAACAAGTAAGGAGGAACATTCTCTTATATTTAACCTCAGTTTTAAGCTTTGTGTTCCTAAGTCTTGGGGTGGAAACTTCCCGGTGATCCTACCCTTATCTCAACTGTAGGGAATTGCTAATGCTTCAGCAAGTACTCCTACCCTTCTTCCAGGAACAGAGGGCTTTTGTTTTCTTCTATTCTATTACCCAAGCTGCCCTGGGTTGATAGGGCTTATACTTCTTCCCTTAACAGCTTAAAGTTTTTGCTCTACAACATCCAAAGAGTGTTCAGTGCACTTCGCGTAGTAAATGCTGTTTTTTTCCACCAGAATATGCCATGAGGAGGGCTTCTTCACTCTTTTATATCCTTATTCCCAAATGTGCTTTATCTCTAATTCCTTCTTCAGTTGTTTTCCCTCCTTAGATTGGACAATTTATAAACAACAGCAATACACTGCTCACAATTCTGGAGGCTAGGGAGTCCAAGATCAAAGCACCAGCAGATTCAGTGTCTGGTGAGGGTTGCTCTCTGATTCATAGATGATGACTTCTTGCTATGTCTTCACACAGAAGGAGCAAACTCTCCCAGACTTTTAAAATTTATTTTTCTCTTTCTACTTTTATTAGTGTATTTTAAATATACATGATGGGGTTTTGCTGTTACATATTTGTACATGCACACAATATAACAATATACTTTGGCCAATATAACTCCCCAGCACTTCCACCCTCCCTCTCCAACTTCCACTTCCTTCCTGGTCCCTTTCCTCTACTGATCTCCTTTTGATTTTCATTAAGATTCCTACCCGGGGCAGGAGTTGTGGTTCGGAACCCTTGATCTTTTGAGCTTTCCTGTAACATAATGGTCTCTAGTTGCTTCCATTTTCCTGCAAATAACATAATTTCACTTTTCTTTATGGCTGAATAGAACTCCATTTTGTGTATATGCCACACTTTCTTCATCCATTCTGTTGATGGACACCTAGGCTGGTTCCATAGTTTGGCTACTGTGAATTGTGTTGCTATAAATATAGGTAAGCCAAGTATTACTATAATATTATGACTTTAATTCTTTAGGATGAATACCAAGAAGCAGTATAGCTGGGTTATATGATGGTTCTTTGTTTGAGGAACCTCCACACTGATTTCCATAGTGGTTGTACTAATCTGCATCCCACCAACAGGGTAAAAGTATTCCTTTTTCTCCACATCCTCTCCAGCATTTATTATTATTTGTATTATTTTTTGTAATCCCAAACATCAGACTTTATTGTGAACAAGTATAAGAACATTTTGGTCTCCAATAATATATGCAAAAGTTGGTAAGTTTCATCTATAGTCAACCAATCTGTTCCAATGAAAACTATGTTTTTGTGAAAAAAAATTTTAATACCTTTATTTTATTTATTTATTTTTATGTGGTGCTGAGGATTGAACCCAGGACCTCACACATGGTAGGCGAGCGCTCTACCACTGAGCCACAATCCCAACCCCTTGTGAAGAATTTTTATGAACCAAATTATTTCTTCCATTCTTCATTCATTGTTTGATAAACACCTATTACATGAAAGATTCAGGCCTATGTGCCGATGAGAATACCCAGATCAATAAAAAAATCATTCTTTATTTTCAAAGAAAGGACCAGTATAGTCTAATGTAGAAGATGGACCAGATATATAAGTAACCATAATACCAGCCAGCAGGTAAAAACATGCTCTAAGAAGGGCATACTCAGGACAAAGCAAATTGGAAGGAAGGAGATGTTTTCACAGACAGAAAAATAGAAAATTTCACAAAGGGTTTGGCATTTTGGTTTTGGATATTGAGGGACTGGAGGAGGTATTATTTGTATTCTTGATGACTGCCATTCTGACTGGTGTGAGATGAAATCTCARTGTAGTTTCGATTTGCATTTCTCTAATTGCTAAAGGTGTTGAACTTTTTTCCATAAATTTGTTGGCCATTTGTATTTCTTCTGAAAAGTGTTTAATTCATTTGCCCATATGTTAATAGGGTTATTTGTTTTTCTGAGTTCTTTATATAATCTAGACATTAATCCTCTGTCCAAAAAGTAGCTAGCAAAGATTTCCTCCCATTCTGTAGGTTCTCTCTTCACATTCCTAATTGCTTCCCTTGATGTGTAGAAACTTTTTAATTTAATGTCATCCTATTTATTAACTCTTGGCATTATTTCCCAAGCTTTAAGGGTCCTACTGAGAAAGTAGTTGCCTGTGCCTATTTGCTGGAGTGTTGACCCTACATTTTCTTCTAGGAGTTGCATAGTTTCTGGTCAGACCTCTTTTATGAAGGCACTAGTCACTTCCCCAATGGCCTCACTTCTCCATATCACCATACTGGTAATTAGATTTCAACATATGAGCTTTGGGTGGATATAAACTTTAGATAACAGCAAAGTAATCAGATTAAATGAGGTCATAAGGGTGAAGCCCTGATCCAACATAATTAATATATTTTTTGTAAGAAGTACCAGAGAACTCTAATGTAGGTCTATGCACATAATTCCCTCTATCCCACGCCCCAGGTTATGTGAAGACACAGAAAGAAAGCAGCCACCTGCAAATGAAGAAGAGAATCCTCACCAGAAACTGACCATGCACTCTGATCTCAGACTTTCAGTCTCCAGAACTGTTGAGAAAATAAATTTCTGTTGTTTAAGCCACCCAGTCTATGATATTTTGTCATGGCAGCCCAAGCAGACTAAGTCAAATATGAAGTAAATCATTTTAAAATAATTAATTTCATGCATTTTAAAAGGGAGCTTAGGGGAAGCAGTTTAAAAGCCAAGTCTAGATATAAATTATTAATAAAATTTGGAGTATTTTCTTACATTCTAGTTATTACACAGGGCAAATATGCTGTCCCTTGGGAAAGCATTAAATGGAGCTGTTAGGGAATAAAACTGAGCTACATAGGCCACTAATATGCCCCAATGTATGACATGCTTTTTCTTAACAAGAGGGAAATTCCACTAAAATTTTTTTTTAATATTTTTTAGTTRTAGTTGAACACAATACCTTTATTTTACTTATTTATTTTTATGTGGTGCTGAGGCTCAAACCCAGGGCCTTGCGTGCTAGCCAAGCACTTTACCGCTGAGCCACAACCCCAACTCTCCCACTGAAATTTCTTTTGATGAGAAAATCAGTAATCAATAAAGTAAAAGAAAATAATTCTTTCCACTTATGAAAAGGGTTTTTTGCAAAAATATAAAGGAGCATCCATGACCAGTCAAAGAGGTAAGTAATACATTTTAAAGCAGAAAAAATAAAAAACCATAAAGGATTTTAGAATATGTCAAGTTTTGTCAATGAGAATGGCAGGAAGAAGGAAACATAATTTCAACTTAAAACAACTCTAATTCTCTAATGATGACACAACAGCTAAAAGAAAAACGATAAAACAGTAAAACAATAATAGTTACTGCTTACATGTTTAAAAGACCCATAAGGAACTGCTGTGGACCCTGTCTCTTCTAGATAGTCTTCCCAGCTTAATTCTACTTCTTCCATACCAGATCCAGCATCTGGAATTAAAAACAAAACAAAAAAAACAGGTGAGTCTCAAAGAAAAATGAAGGTACAAAAACATAAAACTATAGCAATCTAACTTACAGAATTTACTTCAGGACAAATTAATTGAGTTTGCACAAAAAAATTGAGTTATTTTTTTAATATTTATTTTTTATTGTAGTTGGACACAATACCTTTATTTTATTTATTTTTATGTGGTGCTGAGGTTCGAACCCAGGGCCTCACATGTGCTAGGCGAGGGCTCTACCACTGAGCCTCAACCCCTGCCTAAGTAATTTTTTATTGTTGTTTTAATGGCAGTTTCCCTTAGTGCCTAGAGTGTCAATGGGTCTCAACAGAGCAGACGTTTGATATGCTGTCTTGCTAGGGAGACATCAAATCTAAAGTTCACCCTAGTGGATCATATAATATGAAGATAGAAGGAATATAAAACTATTATATTCATTTTAGCCTATAAGTTAGTATCTAGTACCAAACATTTAGGTCACTTAATAGACATTTCAAACTTAAGTTTTCAATCTGATTCTAAATATTCTCTGAGTAAAGATACTATTAATCATGTTTTAGTTTACTACCAAAAAAAAAGTGAAGTTATCCTTTCCCTTCACATCCTATATCCAATCCATAAAAAATTCTGTAGCTACCATCTTTAAAACATTCCAAATCAAATATTTTCTCATCCTATTACTATCTCTAGTCCACAGTATCTTTCATCTTTTAATCATACTTAAATAAAAGCTACAATCTTTCAAAGATTACAAGGCCCTACATGAGCTAACTCTTGGCCACATACCCTTCTATTTTATCCCCGGCCAGACATTCACTGTTTCCTGCACTCAGGTGACAATGAGTTCCTTGACATTTTTTAATGTTTTCTGTAAGGTCTCTGCATTTGGTGTTCCCTCAGTTCAAAGACTCATCTTCCAGGAGGATCACAACTTCATTTCATTCAAGTTTCWACTAAAATGTCACCTCTTCAGTATCCCATCTAAATGGAGGCTCTGCTTCCATTTTCTTCATAGCATTCATTTCTACTTGACCATATACCATATCTTTTACTCTTCCCTATTAAATCATAAACATAAAGACAGAAATTTTACTTTGGTCACTCTTATATTTCTGTCACCTAGATTCAAAACACCTGGTATATAGTAGACACACAACATGTACTTGTTGCGTGAGCAATAGATACTAAAAGAAAAATTATCTGCTGGGTGGGCAAGATTCAAATATCTATAATCCAACAATCCTACTTCATGTAAACTACTTAAGAGCAAAGACAGTTTTATGTTTGTTCACTAATACGTCCCACTACCTAAAATAATGCTTGAAACAGAGCAAATTCTCAATAAATGGTTGGTAAATGAGTAAATTCTAGGGGAAGTCATGCTTCCAATGAACATAAGGAGCAAATAAGAGAATATTCACCATAGCACTGTTTGTAATAGTTAAGGACTGGAAGCAATTAGTAGGATGAGAGATAAACTGTGGCAATTCTTTAATGAAATGCTATTATATATGCAAGTGAAATTAACTAACTAGCATTGACATAGATAAATAAAGAACATCAAGTAGAAAAGACAAGTGGAGAATGAAAAGCATAGCTAGAAACAATTTAGGCTTCAAAACAAAACTTTTCAGTATCATGTTTATGAATACATGCATATACCAATAAAGAGAATGAAATCAAGAATGTTAAGAATATATGCAAACTTCAACAATGTTACCTTTGGGGAAAGTGAGATGAAAACATCATTAGAAGGGAAGTACAAAATAGAATTAAACTGTATTTTTTATATCTTTTTAAATATGGAAACACATGAAAAGACGTTCAACATTACTTATCATAGGGAAACGTACACCAGAACTACATGACATGCCATCTCACACATATTAGAATAGCTATTATCAACAAAGCAGAAAATGATGGGGGATGGTGAGGATGTAGAAAAAAAATGGTATTTTTATGCATTGCTGGTGAGAATGTAGTCATTGTGGAAACAGTTTTGCAAAAAAAAATTATTTTAATTATCATATGATTCAATAATTCCACCTCTGTGTATATATCCATAAGAATTGAAAGCAGGAACTCAAAACAGTTATTTGTACATGAATGTTCAGAGTAGCAATATTCAAGATAGTCAAAAGGTAGAAGAAGTGTCCATCAAAGGATGAAAGGATAAACAAAATGTGAATAGAATATTAGTCTTAAAAAGGTAKGAAATCGGGCTGGGGCTGTAGCTCAGTGGCAGAGCACTTGCCTCGCATGCGTGAGGCCCTGGGTTCTATCCTCAGCACCACATAAAAATAAATAAAGATATTGTGTCCATCTACAAGTAAAAATATATATATTTTTTTAAAAAAGGTTCGAAATCTTGACACATGCTACAAATACAACATGGACAAATCTTGAGGGTATTATGCTAAACAAAGATCTTGAGGACATTATGCTAAACAAAATACACCCAATCCAAAAAGTCAAATGCTATCAATTCCATTTATGTGGAGATACCTACAGTGGTCAAATTCATAGAAACAGAAAGAAGAATAGTGGGAAATGAGGAATGAAGAATTATTGTTTAATGGGCACAGACTACCAATTTGGGAAAATGAAAAAAAGTTCTAGAGATGGATGGCAATAATGATTGTAATACAATGTCAATATACTTATTGTCACTAAACCATACACTTAAAAATCGTTAATAAGGCTAGGTGCTGGGGCACACACCTACAATTCCAGCCAACTGGAAGACTCAGGAGGATCACAAGTTTGAAGCCAGACTGAGCAACTTGGTGAGACTCTTGTTTCAAAATAAAAAGTAAAAAGGACTGGGGATGTAGCTCAGTAATAGAGTTCTTGCCTAGCATGAATGAGGACCTGGGTTCAATCACCAGTATCACAGGGGGTAAAACTTAACATTTAAAACTTAAAACTTAACAAAAAACTGAAATATTGAAAATGTAAAAAAAAAAAATACTAAAAATTCATAGTAAGTTCATGGTTGTTATTATTTTTTCCATACTTTCTTAAGAATTTGAAATTTTTCATTAGAAATACAAGCCAACAAGGATCGCTCTGAGAGCAACCTGGAAGACAGGCCTATGGAAAGTCAACTGCCATTATTAAAACGTAACTAGGCTGAGAACTCATAGTCCTGAGGCAAGACTCAGTGGCCATATTAACAATTTTTAAGTGTACAGCTCAGTGACATTACGTATATTCACACTGTAATACAATTATTATTGCCATCCATCTCCAGAACTTTTTTCTATTGGTACTCTGTACCCATTAAACAATAATTCTTCATTCCTCATTTCCCACTATTCTACTTTCTATTTTTTATCTATCTTTAAATTGTATTTAGAGAAAAATTATTTAATTATCATGATTCAATAATTTTATTTAAAGATAAAAATGACAATAAAAAACTGATGAATTAATCAACTAAACTCTCTCTTGCATTAAAAAAAAAAAAAAACTACTAAAATTGAGAAGAAATAAGGCTAGTGACCTGATGGGAAAATGAGCAACACACATAAAAACAGAATTACCCAGAAATGCAAATGATCCTTAAATATATGAAAAGATATGCAAATTTTCTCATTTTGAGAGAAAGCAAATTAAAGCTACACTGAGATATTGGATTGGAAAAATTTCAATTTATTCTAAGGTGAAGTTACTGTAGTAAAACTGGTAAAGCATAATAATACAACTCCTATGGAAAAAAACGTAGCAATATCTAGCAACATTACATATGCATTTACCTTTTGATCCAGCAATCCCACTTCTAGGAATCTATCCCTAAGATATGCTGGCAAAAATACAAGAAGACATATGTACAAAGCTATTTATTGCAGCACTATTTGTAATACCAAGACTGGGAATAAGCCAAATGTCCATCAATAAGGAACTAGTTGAATAAATATGGCTTATTCATTGAGTCTACACATCAAAACCAAGACATCTAGGTTTATACAGCTGTAAAAAAAAATGAAAATGATCTCTATATATTTATGTGGAATAATCACCAAAGTATAGTAAGTGAAACCACAGAAGTTTTTTTTTTCCATCTAGACTTCTTGTATAAAATGAGAGAGATGAGTGTGACTATTCAGAAACATACTTAAATTGAAAGAAAGAAATTACAAATGAACTGAAACAAATGAGTCTGTCGGTGGCAAGACAAAAAAACAAAAACAGGATTTCTTTAAGACACATTAAAATATAATACTATGACTGCAAACTCCATTGGAATTTATTTAAAGGTAAAAACCATAAAGAAATTCTAAGCAGCATATTATTATCCTTTTTTAAAAAAAAATACTTTTATTTTATTTATTTTTATGTGGTGCTGAGGATCGAACCCAGGGCCTCACATGTGCTAGGCGAGCAGTCTATCACTGAGCCACAACCCCAGCCCCTTATTATAGTTTTGACATTTGGAAACTTGGTATTGTTATTTTGAAATAACTATAGGATTATTACAGATAAAAACAAATTAGTAATGATGTTAACAACATTAGAAAATAAAACATTTTAGAAGCATAAAATTGTAGTAAAAACCCTGTAATTTTAAATTAAAATTGTAAATATGGGTATGAAACCATGATTTTCCTTTCTCTTCAAAAAGATGTGTATTTTCTTGCAATGTGTATGGATGACATCACATCAAAAGAACACAAGAACCAATCTTAAAGAATTCTCACTGCTCCAGAATGGCCAATTTAATCATCAAATTAATGATGATAGCAATGGATTCAAACTCATTAATCACACATACATATGTAACCCATATACATACACATGATAATATTTAAAACAAGGTGGGCACAATGGCACATGCCTGTAATCCCAGCAAATCAGAAGCTGAGGCAGGAAGATGATCAGTTCAAAGCCTGCCTTAGCAATGTAATGATATCCTGTGTCAAAATAAAAAATAAAAAGGGGTAGGAATGTGGTTCTATGGTTAAACATCTCTGGGTTCAATTCCCAGTATCCCATCCCCCCCATCCCACCCCAAAAAAAGAAAAAAGAAATCAACTTCTGAAATGGTACAGTACATACTTCAATGAACACACATTCTGATAAAAGCAGCAAAAATACTGGCTAAACAATGAAAAGCAACCATTTAAATGTCTCAAATTAGTCAAAAGCACAGAAATTTAAAGATCTATTCAAAGTAAGTTGCTGAACCTTGCTTAAGACAGTGGGATGTGGCATTTTAAGTTGCTACTATTCCCCACCCTTTTCCCTCTCCACCTCAATAATAAAATTTTAGAACTGAAAATAAATACAATAACCAAACTTTTAAAAGAAACTCTACAGATGAGTACAATAGCAAAATGAAGCAGACACAGGAAAGAAGTAAAACTGAAGACAGAACAAAAGAAAATAATCTAAACAACAAAGAACAAAGAAAAAAATGAAGAGACTAATAGAACTGTGAGACAATAAAAGAAAATTTTATACAATTTATTGAAGTTCCAGATGAAGAAAAGAAAGAAGGCAGGGTTGGAAAAGTATTTAAAGAAATAATGGCTGAAATTTTTCCAGAATCAGCAGAAGACCTGTATCTTCAAGAAGCAGATGACCCAAGGAAATTCATGCAAGGAAACAGCAGCATCAAACTTTTTTAAACAAAAGACAAAGAATCTTGAACATAACAAGAGAAAAATAACATCTCTCTTAAGCAGGTGAACAGCGGTGGGGGTCTCATGCCAGGAAAAATGGGAGATACCCATGACAGCACATTTCCCAAGGCTAGAAGGAGGTGGCACAATACTTTTCCTTTACAATACTGAAGGAAAGAAAAGAACTTTCAACCCAGAATTCTTTATCCAGCCAAAATGTCCTTCAATAATAACTGGGCCAGACATGGTGGCACAYACCTGTATTCCCAACAGCTCAGGAGGCTGAGTCAGGAGGATCATGAATTCAAAGCCAGCCTCAGCAAAAGCAAAGTGCTAACCAACTCAATGAGACCTTTTCTCTAAATAAAATACAAAATAGGGCTGGGGATGTGGCTCAGTGGCCAAGTGACCCTGAGTTCATTCCCTGGTAAATTCCCCCCCCCCCAAACCCCACAATAAAAACCAAACTTATTTCAAATATAATAATACTAGGAGGTTGAAAATAAAAGAATAAAAAAGATACGGTGCAAACATCAGTCAAAAGAAAGCAGGAATAGGTAAATTCATAGAGACAGAGAGTAGACTAACTGATTTTCAGAGGCTGAACAGGAGTATTTTGGTGGACACAAAAATGATCTAGAATTAGCAGTGATTACTGTATAACTTTGTTAATATACTAAAAGTCACTGAATTGCACTGGGGGTGTAGCTCAGTGGTAGAGCACTTGCCTAGCATGTATGAAGCTCTGAGTTCAATACCCAGCATTATAAAACAAATAAAACCACTGAATTATGCATTCTACAAGTATGAATTTTATGTCTGAAAATTATATCTCAGAAAATTATGCTTCAGTAAATTTTTTTTAAAAAATCAAAATAAAACTTCAACAATAAAAAAGTTTTATTAGTGAAAAACAAACTAATGAATAATGAGCCCAAGATATGAAGAGATACTTCATCAAAGAGAATTAAGAAAGCCAAATAAGCACATGTAAAGATGTTCAACATCACTGGGCATTAGAGAAATACACATGAAGATCATGATAAGCTCACAACTATCCAGAGGGCTTAAATAAAAAGTAACAATACCAAATAATGGTAAGCATGCAGACAGAATGTATGTCTCTCACATTACTGGTGAATGTCATCTCTAGAAAGTAGCCTGACAGTTTCTTTACTAAACCTATGATAGAAAAATTGTGCTCTTTGGCATTTATCTTCCCAAAATTATGTATACAATTATTCATAGCAACTTATTTGTAATAGCCAAAAGCTGGAAAAAAGCAAAATGTACAACAGAAGAAGGTTTAATCACACTATAATACATCCATGGAATACTATTCAGCAATAAAAACTAACAAACTGTTAACATATGCAAAAACTTCAAGGGATCTCAAAGGCTATTATTTTGAGAGGAAAAAAAAAACTCAAAATGTCTTCTGTTATGTAACATTCTTTAAATGACAAACTTACAGAGATGAAGAGCAGATGAATAGCAGCTTAGGGTTAAAGAGGGTACAGAGAAAGAGGAATAGGTAATGGGAGTGATAAAATAGTTCTATATCTTGACTGAGATGATGTTACAGGAGTCCACATGTGTGATAAAATGATACAGAACTACATACACTTTAAATCAGTATCAATGTCCTGGATTTTATATATTACAATTTTTTGAGGAACTCATGGGAGAAACTGGGTGAAGGGAACATGAGACCTGTCAACACTATCTTTGCAACTTCCTATGACCCATAATTATTTTGAAATAATTAGAAAGTAACCATCAAAATTAAAATACTATTTTTAAAAAGTGTCTTCATAAAAATGACTTACTTTTTCAGCAAACACTATTAGTAGTCTTTAGTGCCAGATTCTTTGCCTGGTGCAGCACACGGCAATGAAAAATAACTACGAACTTCAAAGAGCTTCCAGTTTAGTGGTACAAAGACAAGTCAGACAATGTAACACAGGTGAGTAATGCAATTGTGCACTATGAAGGATAACATCTGCTCAGCAAAACCAGTACCTGCATCAAGCTGCTGTTCCCCGTTCATCTCCACAACACATGGGTTTATCTCCTCCCCAAAGGAAAGGCCTAATGATTCTGCTATGATTGGAAGATGACTTGCAGGTTTCAAGCGTCTGTCCAATGAGCATCCAAGGGTCCAAATGAAAGTGCTGAAAAATCAAAGAGAATTCATCAACAGCCTGAAGCCAAAGTGTTTACTTGTTCAAAAGACATGACACTTGACTAGGATGAAAGGTAAGATAAAACAAAAACACACTGGCAGAAAAGATAGGATTAGAGGAAAGATCTGACACCTTCTCTAATTTTGACAATTCTGTATAAGAGTATATGTGGAGAGAGAGGTAGGAAGGGAAGGAGGGAGAGGGAGAAGGGTCAGGGGGCAGAAGAAGAGGGAAAGGATGAGAAGAGAAACCAAGACCTTGATAAAATATCTATAGATCACAACAAATTAACATGTATATGAATCCTATCCTTAAAAGTGTTACCACTCTTTGTGCCATAATTCCTATCCACAAAAACTTTAATTTTTCCTTTTCACAAAAACAATTCCTAAGGCTGGGTTGTRGTTCAGTGGTACAGTACTTGTCTAGCATGTCTGAGGTACTGGGCTCGATCCTTGGCACCATATAAAAATAAATAAATAAAGATATTGTGTCCATCTATAACTAAAAAAAAGTATTAAAAAAAAAACACAAAAATTCCTAATGGTTTCATGGGGTTGGGGAGGGGGGCTTTCAAACTCTGGCTTACCTAATGAATAAAATTCAGGCTATCATATATTACTTTATCTAGTTTTCCATTTTACTTCTCTAGGGTACTATGCATAACTAAATTTATCAATTATATTAATCTACAATTATAAAAGAGAATCCCTCCAAAATAAGTTCTAAACCAAATTTTTTAAACAACTTTACTGGAGTATAATTCATATACCCAAATTTTATTTTAAATGTATAATCTAATAACATTTAGTAAATTTACAGGGTGGGCAAATATCACCATAATCCAATTTTAGAATATTTCTGTATCCCTGAAAAGAAGCTTCATATTCACTTGCAGTTTGTTCCTCCCCATCCCATCCCTAGGCTCAACCAACCACTAATCCACCTCCTGTCTCTAGAGGTTTTGCCTTTCTTGGACATCTCACATAGATAGAATATATTACATTGATACTGATATTTATTTCACTTAGCATGTTTCTGAGGTTTGCCCATGTTGCAGAATGGATGAATCTATTTATTCTTGCTTGTAAAACAATCTAAGACATTATCTATATACACCTCTAACAGATGAGAAAGAATAAGTGAAAAAAGGATTTGCTACAGGAGGGCATGATATGAACTAACTGCCCAGGCAATAATACAAAAAACTATATAAGTGGGATAGGTACTTAACAGCACAGTGTTGAGGGTGATATTCTGCAAGATCAAGCAACTTTATATCTCTCAAAGGGTTTTGAGTGTATATGAAAGCCCTTGGTAATTGATTCTCACAGCAACTTTAATCACTAAGAAAAAGTTATCTTAGATTTTAATGTTGCCCTTCAAGAATAATAGGTACCTGAAATACAACAGCTTCAGATGGGAAATAGTAGTTCTACCAGCTATGCAATCTTACATGTTATCATACTATGTCATTGATTTTGTCTGTAGAATGAGGTAAGGTCTTTTTCAGATTCTAAAATTTTATTTCATAGAAAAAGTTTTAATAAACTTTATAAGTATGGATGTCCCATTTGAGACAACTACCAGTTATGAACAAAATTATATACAATAAAAGCACTGACATCCACATTTTCTCATAGGAACAACTGAACGAAACTCAAGAGTGATATACAAATCCTCTAAATGTGCTCCCTTCCCTTAGTTTACTTTTTCACCCAAATCTCAGTCAAATCGTACCATTCCATCTACTAATTAATTCACTCCCTACATATTTATCAACACTAGCTCATCACAAACAATTATTTCTGGGGATGAGGTAAAGTCATCAAGAGAAACATAATTCCTATTTTCCTATTTTCTTTCTTTTTTTATAGCTTAGGGATGGAGTGCTTGCCTAATCTACACAAGACCCTGGATTTAATCCTTAGTACTGCAAAAATAAGTATAAAGAAATAAAACACACAGAATAACTACCTTAGTAAATCTTTCAAAATATATAAAAGTCATTTGAACACTTAAACCATGCTTTCCCCCACCGCCTATTATTAATAGTTGTGGTCCATATTCGATAAGCCTAGTGATAGTAACTACACTTCATGTTAACGCACTTTGTTTCCAAAGCTAAGATAAAACACTGAGTAAGAGTATTACGAAGGGGGCTGGGGTTGTAGCTTAGTGGTACAGCGCTTGCCTAGCATGTGTGGGCATTGGGTTTGATCCTCACCAACATATAAAAATAAATAAATAAAGTTATTCTGTCCATCTACAACTAAAAAAAAAATTTTTAAAGAGTATTTTTTGGGAAATTACAATAATGCAAGAGAGCCATGCACTGTGAGCACACACCTATAGTCCCAGCCACTGGGGAGGCTGAGGCAGGAGAATCACTTGAACCCAGGAGTTCATGGGCAGCCTGGTCAACATACCAAGACCCCAGGTATGCAAATATAATCAAACAAAAAAAGATGTCTTTGGGAAAGATCTTCAGCCATGTAATTTAACATGTCTTACATAAATAACTTTTAAAAGGCTTAGGAGGACAGAACTCAGTATAGATTGCTAATATGTATAAATTTGTATTCATAAACTCAATAAATATTTACCAGGCAATTAACAGGAAAATCCATTGAAATATTTGAATCTGCATACTTACTCCTCAACTCAACAGATGTGAGTTCAGCAATGATTTCAAGAATGCTACCAATTTAGTAAATACAATAATTCAGCAAAGCAGATGCTCCATTTTCARCAAATTTGCCATATTAATTCTGACCTTGACAGTAAAGATTGGTAATAGAGTCAATATATTTTGTTTCCTAATAGTAAGGTTTCTTAATAGTAAGATTTGACCATTTTACGCTTAACAATAGTCTATCATTACTTCTTGACCTTGCACAGTTATATTTTTACAGACTATCTAAATTTAAAATCGTGTTTCCATTTGTCAAATATCAAAGTTACTTGATTGTTTGGGGCAAACATCTTCTGTTTCAGTTATTTGTTGCTTTTATTGTTTTTAACACAATGCTACATGTCTGACTAAAGATATTAAAAAATAAAATCTGATAAAGTCAAAAGTTTTAAAACATCTTAGCCACCCCTACCATCTAAATTAAATCTGACCCTAACTTAACTTTTTCATGATTCCATAAACTCAACACAGGGCACATCTCAGTTAAACAAATTGGTACTAATAAATCTATTAAACCACTAAAAGTTTTTCCTTTAGGAGTCTGGAGTTTTCTATGTTGTCGAAGCCGATGTACCACCATACCATGCTGAACGTGCCTGATCTTGTACAATCAAACAAAAAAGATGTCTTTAGGAAAGATCTTCAGCCAAGTAATTTAACATGTCTTACATAAATAACTTTTAAAAGGCTTAGGAGGACAAAACTCAGTATAGATTGCTAATATATATAAATCTGTATTCATAAACTCAATAAATATTTAATTTCAGAAACTATGTTATCCAGGCTGCCTCTGAACATCTGGGCTCAAGCCATTCTCCTGCCTCAGCCTCACCAGGTATCTGGGACTACAGGCATGTACAACTGCACTCAGCAAATCACAGCAAGTTCTAAACAAAACCTTGTACTTGTACTCAAGATTAACCTAAATTGAAAAAGAAGGAAAGAAGAAGGAAGGAAGGAAGGAAGGAAGGAAGGAAGGAAGGAAGGAAGGAAGGAAGGAAGGAACAAAATTATGGAGCCAATAGTTTGAAAAGATTATTTTGAACCAATAATGACAAACAAATAAAATATAGCACAAGATAACAATGTCCCTTGTAAGGCCATTAAAAACTATGTTAGAGAAATATTTTTCCTTCCAATAAAGTATTTTATACTGCTTGATAAGCTAATTTTAAAAGAGAAAGTGTACGTCTTTTATAATGAGGCAAATTTCTTCTATCAAAATATTAAAATAGAATTATTAGCATAAGAAAAAATAAATACATCATCAATAAAGTAGAATGAAGATGAAAAATATATCCAATTTTATAAAGAGTACAGTACATGATAAAAATGGCATACTACATCACTTGTGAAAAGACACAAATAGTGTTAATGAATTGGATTTGGAGGAGGAAAATAATTAGATCTTTGCTTTACACTACAATATAAACAAACTATAGGTGAATTMAAAGAGGAGAACATGAAAAATACGATTTAAACCAAATTAAAAGAAAACATAAGTGAATATGGTTAGAATTTCAGAACAGCACAGAATTCCTTAAGCAAGGAGGCCACAAAATGGATACATGTAAATAAAGAAACACTTAAAACTCCCATTTGGTAAAAAGAACCTTGATTTAAAGGACAAACTATAGAACAGAAGAAACCATTTCTAGAATATATAACAAAATATGAATAGCCATAATAAAAAAACAGCACCTATAAAGTAAATAAGAGACTTATTTAATCTAATATAGGGAAGAATTTTCTTTAAAGGTCATGTACAGTCAGGTGCAGGGGCACATACCTGTAATGCCAGCTATTCAGAAGACTGAAGCAGCAGAATCGCAATTTTGAGGGCAGCCTCAGCAACTTAGCAAGACACTTTCTCAAAATTTTTAAAAATTAAAATGGGCTGAGACATAGTTCAATGGTATTGTGCCCTGGGTATGATTCCTAGTACCACAAAAAATTAAAAATTAAAAAAAAATTAAAAGATGGATCTAAGAACAAGAATTTTAACAGAAGAAATACAAATGATCAATAATTATATGAAAGTATATTCAACCTCAACAGCTAAAATGAGTTCTTACCCAGATTGTCAAAAATAGAAGATTAATAACATCTAATATAGGTGAAGATGTAGAGAAATGGATTCTGTCAATACTAGATGAAGAAGGTAAATAAATAAAGCCCTTTAAAAGAGAAATTTTACTCTATTAAAAAATGTATTTCAATTTTATTCCAATATCTATTTCAGAAAAATAGATATTGGAATAAAATATCTATTTTATTCTGAAATATCTATTTC